GATGTGGTCACATCTCAGTTCCAAGCTGCCGCTTTCCCTAGGAAACATCAGTATTTTTTAAAGCACATTTACAATGCTTTCCCATCACCCTTGCTGTGTTTTTGTAGCACCTATAGCCATAACTGGCACCTGGGGGCCTAGCATTGCTGGCAGTTTCCCTTACATTTCTTTGGAGTCTATTCAACTGCTGTGGTTTTACTTAGAAGTCAGTGCTTTGCATATATGATTTCCTGAGACTGTTTGAATAGTCTTTCTCAGAAAACTGTGCCAGTCTGGCTGTGAACAGCTCTTCTCTCAGGGGAGCTGACAGTAGCCTGGTCGGGTCGGTATACTTGGACTTAGGTTCCGAGCCGTGCCCTTCTATCTTTCCGCCTCTCTCTTTTCTTGTCCCTACCCAGTGACATCACTGCCCATGTCTTGCCATCCCTTTAAAAAAGAGTACAAGATGTGGACTAGTCTGGTTAGAAAAAAAGGAAATGCTCCCCAGGGAACCTCTGCAAAGCTCCCACTGAAAACGCTTTATACTTGTTTCAGCAGCTGATGTAGAAAAGGTTTTAAACAATGAACAAAGTCAGACTGAATAATCCAAACTTCTGTAAGGTAATAATCTGTTGTGAAGATAGAAGTTTAGTTGTGATTATAGGTATAAAATTTGGAAGCAAAGATAACCTTAATTTTCTTGATATGAGTGTAATTTTTAAGACCATCCTTTTGACAATGCAGTTTTGAGATAATGGGCACAAAAAAAAAATGGCTTTTAATAAGCTTTAATGCCATGCTGCTTTGAGCTGCTAAGGTAGAGAGAAGCACTGTTTTATGAAGTGGCTCATATGGGTAAAAATATGTTGGTGTGCTGTGCTGCTAGCAATTCCATGGTCTTCATCGGTGTACCACTGGGGAGAGAAAGAAGAAGGTCACAATTAGGAAGTCAGCTGTCTTTTTCTTTTCTTTTAAATAAATTCAAGTGCCCTCTCATGAGTACATGTGGTATAACACAGATGTTTTAATTCCCCAAACTATTTATAAACTGAAATGTGATCCAAGGAGGGATCTAATTTCCCCCCTAGAGCTTTTGCCAGGATATATTCTGTCTTACAGAAGTCCCTGATCCCCTTTTGCAGGTGTTGAAATAACTCACTGTAAATTTGGCTTTACTGCATACTGCTTTAAAGGATATGTAAATTCTAATGAAAGCACCCAAGTCCATTTTCAAATTTGACACTTAGAACTGCACCATACATAGGAAGGAATATTTATTTATCCCATTCAGCCCACTTGTTTTAATTAAGTGTTATCAAATGTCAATTTTCTCTGTACTCTAGTAAGATAAACTGTGGTGAAATAAGTGAATTTTTAAAAAGCAACTCTTCCTGATATATATATCAAAGAAGAAACTGGAAAAGTCAACCTCAGTATTACATATATATGTTTAACATAAATTAAGTTAAAAGTCAAATGTATTATTTGTAAACCTTTAGCTTTTATATTGGCATTAAAAAAATCTGTGTGTCTGACATTTATGTAAAAGTAACTTATGACCTGAGTCATAAATTTTGTCAACTCATATATTGGGTCATCCTAAAAGTCATGATGAATTTTTGCATAGAAAAACAGAAAAAATACATCATGACTTTTCTGATGCTCCAATATTATTAAATCATTGGTAAGTCTTTCCTAGGCAAACATATATTATGGTGACATAGGTTCACTGTAATCAACTCCTACAAGTATCATGGGCCTTTTCTTTGAATAGTGAAAAAATAAACGTCAACCTCTTGTAAGAATCTGATCCAAAAGTTATGCCAGTTTTTCTCAGTATCATTAAACTGGCCCACTCCTATGCAGGGGGCACCATTTTAACTGAGCACAGAGTAAATGATATATTTTAGAGCAAAGTGAGAAAAAGCAGATTTTTCTAACTAAAACAGACAAGAAAGCTGCATTTTACACAAAAATACTTAGTGCTTCCTAGTTACAAATATACATACATATGTTTGTGTGTATGTATGTATTTTCTTCTTAACCTGAACATCTCAGATGCAGAAAAGGAATTTAACTTAATACCCCAATACATCCTCCGTGTAGGCAGCAACAACTCTAGCCATTTCAGACTTTATAAGACAAGCCTAATTGTTTATTGCCTGTGGTTGTTCAACAAAAGATGACATGGCAATTGCAAAAACAAAAGCACTTCTGATTATTAATACCCCACTGTTACAATGGCTAGTAATACCTACTAGATAGAAATGGATTTTCATATTGGTGCTGAACTATTATCATGCTGGTTTCACTTTAGAATTACTCTGCCACACATTTTACTGAATACATGATTAAGTTTGAATCAAAATAGGGAGGACTGAATAATCATATGAATAGGAGAGTAGTGTTCTGCACTACCAGGATATGCAGTATTGCAGTATTGTGCTTCTCAACCCCAAGCTCTCTAATATTTTTGAACAGTTCTCCGAGTATGGCCCAAGAATATCACTCGCTGACTCCACATTCGAAAAATAAAAATACTCTTTATTCTGTCTCTGTCTCTCAGAACTGTCATGAGGAGAAGTAGCCGGCTAAGAGGAAAGCAGACCCCACCAGCAGCCTCCCTCCCCCTCACACCACAATTGGCTATACCATTGCCTGGAAATCCACTCCAGCATCCACCAGGGCTTTGGAGATCTGAGCTGACTGCTGAAAGTGAACGTTATCTGTGGGGAGAAAGAGGAAACAAACTAGCTAGTAGTCTTCTGGTTGTCTAAAACCAAAGGGTGGGAAAGGCACAAGAAGAAAAGGGCTGGTTTGAAGTTCTAGGACTCAGCATCCCATTTAGCCCAAGACAAGTGAGTTGTGGAAAGCAACACTGTTTTATTGAAGTAAATGTAACAGTCTTGCCCCTCATGCTTTTGTTTTGTCAGTAGTGAAATTGCAAACCTGTCTGTGATACTAAAAAGTCTAATTAACTGAAACTCACCATCTGCTGTTCCATGAATAAGGAGGTACTCAACTTGTTTAAAATTTTCAGCTCTGCTCATGACTGTTGAATTCTGGAATTGGGAAAAAGAATGTCATTATTCAAAAAAGGATCTGCCATAAACTGATTTTTCACTTCAGTTTACAAAATAAAATGTTTTCAGCTGGGGCCCCCTTTGATACAAAATATAGCAAACCGATATTCAAGCAAATGCTGTCTCCATGCATGGCAGAATGCACAGCATGCCCTGTGCCTGGGAGACAGGACTGGGAAGGGAGGATGCCACATCTTCCCTTCCCATGCAGGAAGAGGGCACCTGCCACCCAGGCTGCATGCTAAACCCCTTGAGTCCCAGCTCCCAGATTGGCTGTGTCCTATGCATTAGCACAGGGCAGAGTCTCATATTAGCAATGTATGTTGCATGGGCTTCTCCTGTAGTTCAGCCAAAAAGTGTATCACCATGGCAACCATGTGTCACATGGTGCCATACATGCTACATTTCAAAGAGCCTGTACATAGCATTTGCAACTGAACATACTCTGCAATATGTCATGTGAACTTTGGTCCACATTGCAAGGCTCTGAATGAAAAGCAAATATTACCTCTTTGGGAACAGATGTTTAAAACCTAGGCAAATGTAACATATGGGAGGGGAAAAGGGTGAAAAAGATCAAGAATGGTCTTACAAAAATCAGTGGGTTGTTGTCATCAGCCTCATTCTGTATATTGGAGAAAATGCTGTTATCGGATCAAGTCATTATCAAATCATCCAGGGAAACAGAATAAAAAATCGGGAGGTCAGTTTTTCGAGATTACTTTGTAGCTGGGGTAAAGGTTGGCTTCTAGAATGAGGGAATGCTATTGAAAGCATGGAACTGGTCACCTGATAATAACTTAGGGATATTGACGAAATTGGGATGAAGAGAAAAATCCCATGTAGATATTTGTGCCATCTTTGGGAAGGGGTGAGTTAGAGTTGGCTTTGATTGTCCTATAATGAGTTGGGAAGGAGAAAGGAAAGAAGCCTCTTTATAGGGTTAAAAACAGCTGGCCAGTCGTGTCGTACCTTGGTAAATCAAAGTCAAGTTTATGTTTGTATTTAACAGATACCTTTGTGCTAACATCAGCTTAACATTTCTGATGAAAACCCTGGTGGCCTGGCAGGAAGAGAATAGGGCTAAGGTGAGCACGTTTGTATTCCAGTCCCAGCTTCATAATCAGTGAGTTGTACAGTTGGAGACATGCTGCTCTCTAAGCCTGGATTTCTGTAAAATGGGACTGAGAATAACTCTTCTTACCTCCTCACAGAACTAAGAATCAAAAGATGTACAGAAGCTTTCTTTCTTTTTTCTTTTCACCTCAGAGGGTGATTTCTCACTTTCTCTCTCTCTATGGCAAGCACACACACCCTATGGCAGATACTTCAAACAATAAATAAATAAAAGTGAAACTTTTGTTTTTGAGAAACTTTTTCTCTGGTAAGCTGTCCCAAAGAAATCCATCCATGCATGAATCCATCTATCCTAACATTATCCTGTTCATTTATCCATCCATTACTACTACTACTACTTCTTTTTCTCTTCTTTCCCTTCTCGTCCTCCTCCTCCACCTTCTTTTTCTAAGAGAGATTTTTGCTATAGGGCATGTGCGCTTGCCAGAGAACCAGAGAGACAGAAAGCAAGAAATAACCCCCTCAGGGGGTGGCCAAGTCAATCCCTTTTCCTCCATTCTCCTCTTGGGATTTTGGGCAGGCATGCAGGCTTGTTCGGTGTAGGTTTAAGTCACTGGTTCCGGGACTCAAACCACAGTCAACCACATGGAAGTCCAGTAATGTAACCATTACACCATTTGCTAGCCCACATGCATGACTTCTTTCATTTAGTCAATGGATATTTTTGTGTCATCTACTGCACTAAGCAATATAGTCCGTGAGAAAAGATTTGTCTGTATTGCTTATTATTCTTTGCATCTAATACAATGCTAAATATTTATCAATTAAGTGAGTAAATGAAAGTAATTTTTAAATATTTGTTCACTATATTATTTGGTCCTAGTTTTGTTTAAGCAAGTGGAAGGAGATGGAGAAGGCAGAGTAAAAGATTCTCATCTTGAAATTTACTCTGAGACATATTTTGCCCATTTTCGACCCACATACCATGCCATTAGCAATAATAGTGAACATCCATTGAACATTTGCTCTGTGCCAATCACTGTTCTAAGCACATGGATAACTTATAATGGCACTCTTCTATCTAATTGTAAAAAACCCATGTGAAATAGGTCTATACCAATCATACTTTATAGATGAAGACCCTGAGATTGACAAGGTAAGTGACATGCATCAGGCTACATCATAGGACATGTCAGAGCTAGACCAAGTTTGACAACAGCACCCCTCTTACTTCCTGGATTGTGCTGTGTCTCTACTAAAATTCCAAGCTGTGTATGATGTGGTATTCCAGCAAAGACATGGGGTGCAATGAAAAGAATTGGAAATACACAATAACTGAGGGCATCCGTAAGCTCCTGAGGATCCCATGCCTTCTCAGTCTGAAATAACTGGGAGTGAGATTGATCTGCGCAGCCCTGCAAGATTTGGGAGGCATATTTTCTGTTTGCACAGGTGATGTGTGTTCTACTGTGGCAATTGAACTCTGAGCAATTCTCTACCCTTCAGAGACGAAAAGGTCAAAATAAACCTCCCTTAAAGACACCACCATGTAGCATACAAAGCTAGTGGAAGGGAAGGCTGAGGCTCGAATATTGAAGGTGAGTATTAACAACGGAATCACAGGCTAGGTGCCCCTGTTAGAGTCTTCTTTAGTGACTTTCTGCCAGTCATGCTTCCAGCTTGTGCTGACTTCCTCCCACCTTGTTTCTTCCCAAATTAAATCTAGCTCTTTGCTCACAGAAGACAGTTAACTTTAACACCAGACCTGACCTAAATATACAACTGTGTCGCCTCACCTCACCTCCAAAAGCCTCCTGGGCCTGCTTTCCTTGAACAGCAAAAGCTGCTCCTACAACCTCCCCGAGCCATGAAACTGAGAAATGTCATTGAAACACAGAGTAATAGTTAGGAGACATATAAATACACAGGACAGTTAGCAAGGAATGTGATAACTACTGGAGTTTGGACCAAAACAGTTTCTGGCTGCCTTTTTTTTTCTTAAATGGAGTGAATACAGGCTGAAAGAAGACAATTTTTATAAACAAGTAAAACCCTGAGCCTAAGATAAATGTTGTGATGTACACACTGTAGCTGTGATGAACTAGACATGGTGAGAAATGCAACATACTGAGAAAAAGACGAAAACTGTGATAAAAGTGTCATGATGCAAATTGTTTTACATTAACAATATTACACTACAAAGAAAGAAAGACAAATACTTTAATGCAGCAAGAGAAAAATAAAACAAAAGCTTCCCCTGCAACTGTAAGATAAGTGTGCCATTTCCAACGCACACTTCCCCTACTCGCTGGGAAGAGCCTCTGAGGGACCTCTCATGAGAGGCAGACCGTCAGCAGAAGACACATACCCACTTTAAGGCTCTCAGGCGCCATAGAACACTTTTCCCCAGAAAAATGCAGCTATGTCACCTCGTTTCTGAAACCACCCATCATTCCTTACTATACTGTGCTTCCTGGCTTCTCTGTTACGGCTCTTTATCATCCACTGCATGGTGCCCTTTAAGTTGTAAAGGTGACATACAAAACCAGTGAAAGAAATGCATGCATTAACTTCAGGTATGATTAACAATCAAAAACACTGAATTGTGCTGCTTTAACCCACCGAAATAGGAATAATCCCCCTTTGCCTATCCATGGAAACAGAAATAAAAAAGGAAATGGATGACTAAGTTAGAAGCTGAATAGTCTATCACCAACTACTGAAAAGGAAGCTCAGAGTGATAAATGGGAAAGGATGCAATGGTGGTGCAGTTGGCACTCTCCTGAGGCTAGAAACTTCCGGAGAGCCCTGCTGCCAGCAACAGTTTGGCAAAGAGAAGTGGGAAGGATTGGTCCAGTGGCAGTGCCGATTCCACAGCATCTCTGCGAGGAGCTTTTCCTTCAATCCCCAAGAAGAACCATCTGTAGCTGCTCGTTGGATCATGCTGGTTCCTCAGTTACCTTCCAACAAATAAATCTTTGTATTTTTGAAATAAAAGAGAGAGTTGGGAAAAGTAGGGAAGTATTATGAGAAACAGAAGGTATAACAATTTTTAAGCTGCCCTTTGTGCCACCTCGGACAGTTTGCTTCCTGAAGATAATAATGGCGTCAGCTGCTACATTTTTAAAAGCTTACTTTATGGCAGGTGCAGGTGGCTCATTGAATCATTTCAATAACCCTGTGTGGTAGGTCTGATAATCCCCTTATCCAGATGAGGAAACTGAAGTTCACGAAGGTTAAGTAGCCCCCTTAAGCTCATGCTGCTAAGAAGTGGGGAAAACAGGATTGGAGTACAGGTCTGTCTATCTCCAAAGCCCATGCCCCTTACCATCATTTTCTATTGTTGCTTAACATCGCAGCCAGACAACTCATCACCATTTCCGAGCTCTCGTAGAAAAATAATCATACACCAGGTCTAACCGGCAACAAGCCACTACTTCTGCAAGACATTACCTTGCCTCTACAGGCTTGCTCTATGAATTCTACTTGCCACAGAAGCTGCATAAATAATCTTAAACAATGCCATTAAGGCCACAACAGAGGCCACAGAAAGCGTTAAGAGAAAAGGAGTTCAACAGAGTATATCAGATGTTTTATTTGTTTACATCTTATCAAACAACTGTACCTGTAGGGTGCCAAGGAAAGAGCTCCCACCCACCCCAGACAGGGGGCTCTACCTCAGACCTCACCAAGCAACACTGGCTTCTTTAAAGATCACACAGCAGTCAACATTTTATCAGCACTCAACAAACAAGTTAAGGTTTGGCTTAAATCTGAAGGTCTCTCTCCCTTTGGCATATTCTGGGATAATAGAACAAATGTCAAATCAGTACAAGATGGCATATTTACAAAATTGCACCCTGTTTTGCATAACCTAACGATGCAGCAGTTCTTAAGGATTG